TGAACCTTATGGGGAAATTTGATTCGGTTCGCGACCAGAATAGTGGAATGAATTAAGTTTGTGAACCGAGGTACCACTGTAATAGTATGGGCCTAGATATTTATGCAGTGCAGCTATATAGCTCCAAAGTGGAAAACATGTTTCATCACTCTTTAAAGAAGCCGTGCCTTTTCTTGGCTCACACAGCAGCTTTGCAGTCCAGATAAATATGCTTTTGTGAGGAGCAAATGACACGACCTTCAGACAGAGGCAAGTGTTTCCTATGTCTGAAGACCCCTCTTGAACTTTTCCTTCCAAAAACTGCACAAAAGAAGCAAAGTATCACATTTGTGCATAGACAATTTCTAGACTTAATGGATTTTTGCTGTCTAAGAATTCAAGAGAAAGGAGCAGCTGAATCAGTATGCAGAGGAACACTCAACCTGGAATTTTTTGGCACTGTAGAAAAGGCAGCAAGCCTGTTTGCTATAACTATTGTGTTAATGTTCCTTTACCTTGAATTTGCAGTAAGAGGCTCAGAAAAAGAAGAGATGACAATAATTGCCATTCCCTTCTCCTTTTAAACATCACATTAGAAGTCATCATTTCAGATGCTTCCCCAGGAAAAGATCCAGAAGCAAGAACTACAGCTGTCAAGAACCTTGCAGATGAACTCTAGCCTACAGACAATTATGGCAAGTACAATAATCCATGGGAATGCAAGGAGGAATCCCAGATGACATACACCCTTGGTAAGGTACACGCTTCTCTAGGTTAGAACAAATACTCCTGTCTCATGATACTTGTGCCTTTACAGATGCTTGGTGAGAACTCAGGGCATCCGTGCTCTTTAGTGCAATTTTGTTTCCATTTCTATTCATTCCATTTTGGGGTTAGTGAGGGATAGCAATAAAGAAATGATCTAACCATGCAAAAGCATGGAAAGCCATGGAGCAAATATTTCCATCACTTATAATTGAAGGAGTAGAAGAACAAGAGTCCAGATCTTTACTGCTAGGAGACTGCAATTTACTATGGACCACTGCCTAGGTAGGGAAGGGATGAACACAGCCATTTGTACCTACTGCTCAAAGGTATCAACAAAAGTATCAACATGAATAAAGCTAAAAATAATGGTACAGATTTCTAGAACATTAATGATAATTAGAAGTCAGATGCTGGTTAGCACCATTATCTGCAGAATCAGATTATCTAGTCAAGCTATAGCTATGCTTGCCCAAAGTCCATGAAATAGAGTTAATCATGTGCTGTTTGCATGACTAATATGTTAACTGAACAAAATTGAAAGTATTGCAATCTTTATCTTATTGTTGAAAGAGTAAACCAATATTATTGGAGAGATAAGGCAAATTATATTATGAAAGTCACTGGAGAGACGAACACTCATGTTGTAATGCTTCACTTGAGGACTCTGTTTTATACATCCACATATGAACTCATATTCTTCTGTAGCTGCTAAATGGACTTTCAGATCCCCAATACACAACACAATCATTATCAGCAGAAAAAAAAAAAATGAAAACCTAGCCTAGACATCAGCTTCAGATAGCATTGCCTCACCATCTAAACTAAATATAGTTTAGTTTTGACTGAAAATGGCTGGGAGAAGATGTAATTCAAAGACATTTTACTGACTGTTAAAGAATAGTCCCTATTAAAGAAATAGCCTGTGATTAAAAATAAACATTGAATTAAGTTTTATTCTGCTGAAGTGTTAATTTGGAAGTAAATAAGGAAGAGATTGCAAATCTTCAGTGTTTAAAGAACGCTGTGATGGGTGTCACATGTAAAAAAAATTGGATCAGTTTGAACAAATTGCAATTTGAAGATATGAACACTGCACAAGTTGGCCCAACTGAGTTCCTTTTCCCGCAACCATTAAATTGAGAAGAATGGGTAAAAGTGGGATAAAAGTATCATTGATGTTAGCAGGGGATTGTGGTAGATGACTATAAATATCCTTACCAATAGCCTTACCAATAAACTACAGTAGTCCACCTAAAAATTAGGCAAATCATCTACACTTTAAAAAATCACTGACACAGTTTACAGAGGGGTTTCAAGTTATTAGCAAGCTGCTTCTTTTGGTTGAGAAATAGTATTACCCACAATTTGAGCTGCCTTTATGGGCAACATTCCCAGTAATACATCTGCTTAGGAGGAATTTTTTTCTTGTTCTATTAAGTGGCTCCATTAACAGAAGAAATTATTTGGTTTATTTGAATTTCTGTAATCAAAAGGTATTTGTTATTATTATCATAATATCTGTATTTATTGATTACAACTTAAATGCAATATAAGCATTTTAGAGTATGAATAGAAGAATAAACAAAGAGAACATAAAGTTGTAAACAAAACTGGGGTCAACTGGGAAAAAAAGAAAATTCTAGGCTGCTAAGGATATTACAGGAGCACTGTGCTCTCTAAGATAATGATTATCAGTAAGCTAAAGAATTTGCTAAATTACACAAGTTTTATTTGTGACAGAAAGAAGAGAGGAGCGAATCCTAGCCAGAGCTAATTTGAGCAACATCAGCAAAGACTTTTGAACCCACTACTCAGCCAAAGTTCAAACTTTTGAAAAACCCATCCTACTCTAAGAGTTTGCTGTAGGAGTATGAACAAGAAATGTTATTAATAAGAATCTCTTTCATAAAATTTAATTTTATTAAGCTTAGGTGTTGACCTTATACTAGGATGGTTCAGTCCCCCCCATTAACGATCCTGGACGATGGATAACTCCATAAAACAAACTTAATTCTGCACACATTTTTAGGCAAGCTATGTGTGAAGAAAAGTCGACCAGATCTAGCCTGCCAACACAGTGAGACAGGACTCCTACTATTTGTATAGGCGACTGAGCCTATACAAATAGTACTGAATGCTTTCTTGATATTCCTGAAAGTCAGGAGTTAGCAATCGTTATGAAACCTTATGAAAAAGGGCTCCCAGTTTCTCTCATCTTTATTTCCTTACATTTGAAAGCGAAAGGGATAACAAGGAATCTGATATTTGTGAACTTTCACCCATTTCCCTCATTTCTGTTATGTTGAAAGGCTTTAGGCAGACATCCTATCTCCCAAAGTGTCAAGGGCTTAAAGATATGGGAGAAAGTGACTCCCATCTGCACTCTAGGAAACAATAAAATCCAGAAGATCAGAGGGGGGTGCCCCCAACTCTGACTAGCAACCCATAGGTCACCAGGAAGATACGTTTCCCCCAATAATAAGGCGGATCCAAAACTTATGCCAATTTCAGCCAATCATTTGTTAATTGCTGTATCTCTTTGTAAGAAACATGTATAAAATCGCGGATCCAAAACTTATGCCAATTTCAGCCAATCATTTGTTAATTGCTGTATCTCTTTGTAAGAAACATGTATAAAATCGCGGATCCAAAACTTATGCCAATTTCAGCCAATCATTTGTTAATTGCTGTATCTCTTTGTAAGAAACATGTATAAAATCGCGGATCCAAAACTTATGCCAATTTCAGCCAATCATTTGTTAATTGCTGTATCTCTTTGTAAGAAACATGTATAAAATCTCCTTCTTTGGGTGTGACCGGGTCTTCTCTGTCTTAAGGCGAGACCCCAGCTGACTCTATTGGCAAGCTTCCATTAAAACTTTAAAATCTCAGCTGGTTCTTTCGTGTCTGTTCTTCTGCTGGACTGAATCCTAACTTTCAAATTTTACTAACAGTTACACGTATGGATTTTTTCGGGGAGGGCAGAAACTTAACTTTTATTACTCCTCCTCTGTCCAGACACGGCGTATAATTCATTACTGCCACCGCACTGCGCTGCCAGGGTCTCTTTTTTTGGAAATAAACGCTCAGGGGGCTATTTCGGGACTCATCGGGAATGACAGCTATGAAATAGCCTCCCCCAGGGAACTGGAGCCGTGCCCGAAGGGGAACGAACGGGTTTTGAGCTTCTTACCCGCACACCCGCCAGAAACAACTGCGGGGCAAATAAGGTCTGCGAACGGCACCGAACCAGCGCCCGCGCCGCCATCTTCCTCTCTTCAGCAGCGTTCCAGAAAGGCCTTCTTGCTCGGGACAGCGGGGGCGTGGCCTAGCAGGAAGCCCTAGACCCGTTCACCCACCTCCTGCGGGGCAGACAGGCCACGCCCCTCCCGGAAGGCAAATTGGATCCTCTCTCATAGGACTTAGACTATTTCTTCGCTTACTTTTGAGCGTTTATCACATGTTGGGCTAGGAAAAAAAGTACACTTGGGACTTGAGTTTGTTTTACTTGTGCATTCGTTTATTTGTTCGATTTATTTTCAATCAGAAAGAGCCCGCCTGTCGTCAAGCCCAATTTTGTAAACTTCACGCGCAGATCCGCATTCTCAGCACTGAGATAAAGGTCTGTTTCTTCTCTCAAGAGACTCTCACGAACAAGTTCCTTTGTCAGAAAAAAAGAGATACTAATATTTATTTGTTGTTTCTAGATTAGGTTTAAGTTTCATCTTTCTTTCGGGAAATTCAAGCATTTCTTTTAGATATCTCGTATTCCTTATCCTTATCCTTATCTCTGGCGGTTCTCCTACCACTGACTTATTTTCAACCTGCCCATGAGCAAAATTGCTTCATTTTAATTTTAAAATAATTTTTCATTTTAATAAACTTTTCAGCTGACCACTACCAATAGTTATTATTATTAACCGCGACTCTGGGCGGTTTACAATTGTTAAAATGTTTAAAAACAATACAAAAAACCTAATAAACTAACACAAAAATAATAAACTAACGTCTCCCCCAAGCCTGGTTCGACTCCTGATTCCTTCAAAGGAACATCCTCGTAGCTTCTTTTGCTGGTTCGCCTTTCTTCCCGGGAATTTTTTCGAAAATCCTTTTAGCCTACGCCGAGCCACGTTACAGGCGCGGCGAGAAACCTTTCCTCTCGCTGCCCGTAGATGGCGCTGTCCCCTCTTTCCGGGTTCTCCCGATCTAGAGGAGGGCGGTTTCGGCATGCGCGCATGCGCACTGTTCTTTCCTCCCTGGTGGGCTGAGGGCGAGGGGGACGGGCGTGGGGGCTGGCTTCTTGGCTCGGGGGAGCTGCGTCCTCGATTCTTCTCCAGGGTTAGGATGTGGAAACTGTGCCCGGCCGATGAGACCGGAGGAGGTAAGCAAGACTACTGAAGTGGGTGAGGGGAGGGCGAATAAGTCTGGGCTGCAACACTCCGGACCATCCCCGGATGGCAGGAAGAGAGACGCGCGGTGAGTGCTTTGGTACCATCTAGCGGCCGGCCAGACTTTTGCGTGTCAGATCGCACTTCTCTAGAGCAGGGGGAGGACGTGTTTTCATACGTGGACTTATTCCGGTTTGGTGCCCGTTACCCTGCTGTTTATGCATTGCTTTGGTTCATCCTAGACCGGTGTTTCTGAATTTCATCAACTTTAAGCTGTGGACTTCAACTCCCAGAATTCCCCAGCTAGCTTGCTAGCTGGGGAATTCTGGGAGTTGAAGTCCACACAGCTTAAAGTTGATTGAGGTTGAGAAATGCTCTACCTAGATGAATTTAGCAAGTTGGTAAGATGAAGAAACTGCAGTAGTCAGCTGAAATTCAGATTCCCGTGCACATGAAGACCAGCAAATCAAATCTATTTTGGAATCTGCTTTCGTGGATTACAATCCCCTTGATCATGGGCTAGGAGTACGTGAGAGAGGAGGGCATGTGCGCGTGCCCGTGCCTACCTTTGGGAAGTAAAATGCAAGAGATAAAGATGATCTGGAGCGAATGATCCCTCAGAAGTGGAGATGATCTTGCATTGTTGAGGTGGTTAGCCGTGATAAGAAATTCCAGTTTAAGTTGTAAGAAATTGGGTTATGACCCCCAGTGAATTCAGTGTAATTATTTATTTGGCAATGCTATGTAATTGTCAGTGATTACCACTATAAGGTCAGGAACAGAGCTTTTTGGGGGAGATGAAATGTAGCCCCACTGCTTTGGGGATATTGCTCTTTTTATTGCCAGATTTGTCTTTTTTGCATTGGATCTCTTAAAATCTGTCCATAATCCATCTGTTAGTCTTCTTATGAGAAACAGGCTGAGTCTGCAGAAAATGCTAGGCTAAAGTGTGATTGCTAATTTGTGGCTCACCCTGCTAGGTGGCAGCATCTAATTGAACTTGGCTGATCTTAAAAAGGTAAGTATTTAATTGGTACTTGGATGGAAGACCACTAGGTGATCCCTGGGCTGAAGGCTAAACTAGGAAATCACCCCCTACATCCCAGAAGAAGTTAGTGGAAAACCACTTCCATATTATTGCCCCAAACATGGACATGTTCATAAAATTACTAGGAGTCAAACTTGATTTTACTTACAGTATAGACTTAACCATAGTTTCCTACTTTCTTTCCCCACTTATATAAAAAAAGCAGCAAATTGGTTGTGTATGGAAGAGGCTAATTCACATATAAGCTTATTAAACTAGAATAAGGCCCCATGTTGGGTGTTTGTCCTTTAAAGGCTGGTAGAGGGAGAAAGATTGAAAATAATTTTTAGGATAAATTTTATTTATGGAGTTTTGTCCAGTTTAAAAAATAGGGCTGCGTTTCCTCAGAGAGAAGAGGAAACTTTTGGGAGGGCCCCTAAAGTCATCGTTGTCACTGGAGACCCAAGTGGCCGCAGAGCTAGGAGTACCTATTGCCAGCTTTGGTTGGCATGCCAACTGTGCCCTTGTCTGGGCAGGGACAGCCTAGTTGCATTTATTCACCCCCTGGTAACCTCACATTGATCTTATCTATCTGACATGCAGGGCTACACTTGTGCTTGGCCCTTGCTGAGGGGGCATTTGGCTGTGTACATGTTACACTTTTGTTGAAGCTGCTTCACTAACTGCCAGTGAGCTACCGAGCCAGGTTCAAGGTTTGAGTTATGACATACAAGGCCTAAGCAACTTGGGACCAGGGTACCAGTCACATTAGCCTTGTAGTTATAGGCTTGGCCACTCACTGAGTTCCTGTGGGGAAGTCCTGCTCCATGTACCCAGATCCATTGAATGCCACGTGACCACTGCTTGGAGGGGGCGTTCCACGTTTGCACCCATGTTCTGGAATGCTCTCCCCTCTGAGATGCCTCCCATGCCATCTTTATCTCCATCGCTTTTTAAATGAATATGTTGTATTTGTTCTTGAATTGGGTATTAGATTTTAGGATATTATCTGTTAGGTGCATTTAATTATTATTGCATGCTTCATGATGGTTTGGCATAGGAAGTGGTATGTAAATATATTATGTAAAAGCAAGGTAAACAAAATGTATTAAACAAGTAACTGTCCTTCCAATCTGTTCTTATTTTCTGGGCTTTTAAATCCTATAATAAACTTGACAAATATTTGTCAATTTTTTCTTTTTCTTTTTAGTTCAAATTTATAACTCCTCACCCAGACTTTTGGTGAGGGAGAGTGAGTCCCCTCCTTTCATTGCATTTGCCATCTTTTATCTTTAACTTTTATCTTTTAACTTTTATTGATTTTACTGAATTTTCTTTGTTTGATCATACAAGTTTAATAAATTATTGTTGGTCACACAGTCAGCCAGATGTTTAGGCTGGATTTGGCATTTTTATCCATCTATTGAGTTATTATTACTATTATTATCTTTACGGTATTATTGAATATTATTAAATAAATTAACAATGAGAGAGCTATCACACCACTTTTATTTTGGATGCTTTGATATGAGAAGGATACTTCTGCAGCAGTCTGTTCGTATTTGTGTGTGTGTGTATCATATAGCTGTCACAAATGCAGGTCCATATACAGTGGTACCTCGGGATACGAACGCATCTACTAGCGAACCTTTTGGGTTACGACCAGCTCTGGCCGCAAAAATTTACCTCGATGTGCGAACTCCGCCTCGGGGTACGGTCATTTTTCCGCCCTGACACGTGGTCCACGGCCATTTTTCTGCCTGGGACACGTGGTCCGCGGCC